GTTTTGCTCTTCTTTTTCTAGGATTTTGAGATGAAGTGTGAGATCATTTATTTGTTGGTTTTTCCTTTTTTTAAGGAATGAACTCCAGGCAATGAATTTTCCTCTTAGCACTGCTTTCATTGTGTCCCATAGATTCCGATATGTTGTGTCTGTGTTTTCATTAATCGCTAAGAATTTTTTAATTTCCTCCTTGATGTCTTCTATAACCCATTGATCATTCAGTAACCTATTGTTCATTCTCCAAGTGATGCATGATTTTTCCTTCCTTCTTTTATTGTTGATTTCCAGTTTCATTCCATTATGATCAGATAAGATGCATGGTATTATCTCTACTCCTTTATAATGTCTAAGAGTTGTCCTGTGACATAATATATGATCTATTTTTGAGAAGGATCCATGTGCTGCTGAGAAAAAAGTGTAACTGCTTGATGTTGGGTGGTATATTCTATATATGTCAATTAAGTCTAGGTTATTAATTGTATTATTGAGTTCTATAGTTTCTTTATTCAACTTTTGTTTGGAAGATCTGTCCAATGGTGAGAGAGGTGTGTTGAAGTCTCCCATAATTATTGTATGGTGCTCTATTAGACTCTTGAACTTGAGAAGAGTTTGTTTGATGAACATAGCTGCACCATTGTTTGGAGCATATATATTTATGATTGTTATGTCTTGTTGGTGTATGGTTCCCTTGAGCAGTATGTAGTGTCCCTCTTTATCCCTTTTGATTAACTTTGGCTTGAAATCTATTTTATTTGATATGAGTATGGACACTCCTGCTTGTTTCTGAAGTCCATATGAGTGATATGATTTTTCCCAACCTTTCACCTTCAGCCTATGTATGTCTTTTCCTATCAAATGTGTCTCCTGTAGGCAGCATATTGTTGGATCTTTTTTTTGATCCATTCTACTAGCCTGTGTCTCTTAATTGGTGAGTTTAAGCCATTAACATTTAGGGTTATTATTGAGATATGGATTGTTCTTCCAGCCGTATTTGTTTATTTATGTTACTTAACATGGTTTGTTTTTCCTCTTTGATTATTTTTTCCCTTTACTGTACTACCTCCCACTGTTGGTTTTCATTGTTATTTTCCATTTCCTCTTCCTGTAATGTTTTCCCGAGGATGTTTTGAAGAGATGGTTTTCTAGCTGCAAATTCTTTTAGCTTTTGTTTATCGTGGAAGGTTTTAATTTCATCTTCCATCCTGAAGCTTAATTTCGCTGGATACACAATTCTTGGTTCAAACCCATTTTCTTTCAGCATTTGAAATATGTTGTTCCAGGATCTTCTAGCTTTCAGAGTCTGTGTTGAAAGATCAGCTGTTATCCTGATTGGTTTACCCCTAAATGTAATCTGCTTCCTTTCTCTTGAAGCTTTTAAAATTCTCTCCTTATTCTGTATGTTGGGTATCTTCATTATAATGTGTCTATGTGTGGGTCTCTTATGATTTTGCACATTCGGCATCCTGTAGGCTTCTAGGATTTGGGATTCTGTCTCATTCTTCACGTCTGGGAAGTTTTCTCGTATTATTTTGTTGAACAGATTGCTCATTCCTTTGGTTTGGACCTCTATCCTTCCTGTATCCCAATGACTCTTAAGTTTGGTCTCTTTATGTTATCCCATATTTCTTGGATGTTCTGCTCATGGTTTCTTAAGAGTCTCGCTGAGCTGTCTATGTTCTTTTTAAGTTGAAATACTTTGTCTTCATTGTCTGATGTTCTATCTTCTAAGTGTTCTACTCTGCTGGTAGTATTCTCATTTGAGTTTTTAAGTTGTTTTATTGCTTCCTGCATTTCTAGGATTTCTGTTTGTTTTTTATAACCTCTATCTCCCTGTTTAGTTGATCTTTTGCTTCTTGGATTTGTTTATGTAATTCATTGTCGAAGTGATCTTTCATTGTCTGATTTTGCTGTCTAATGTCTTCCTTGAGACTCCAGATCATCTGAAGCATGTAAATCCTGAATTCTTTATCTGACATTCCATCTGCTGCAGCTATTACCTCTTCTAAAGTTGAGTTGACCTGCATTGCTTGTGGTCCTTTCTTTCCTTGTCTTTTCATACTGCTTGCGTTTCTTTTTGCTTGGTGAAACTGTTGTGTTATTGAATTTTCCCCCTATATATTTATATTGCTCTTGTATAGTTGCAAAGTCTCCCTTGCAGGGGCGGGCGGCGGCTGTGCTCCTCCTCCAATTGGGGTGATCTGTCTATCACGCCGGCGGGCCACTGGGCCCCTTCTCCAGGTCGCGTGGTCTGCCTACCTTGTGGGCGCAGGCAGCGGCTCTGCTCTGCCCCTACTCCAATTGGGGTGACGTGTCTACCCTGCCGGCAGGCCGCTCTGAAGTGTATATTGATGGGAAAAATTAAAAGAGTTTTGCCAGATTAAAAATCCTCTAGTGAGGGCCGGGGTTGTGGCTCAGCAGTAGAGCGCTTGCCTAGCATGTGCGAGGCCCTGGGTTCAATCATCAGCACCACATATAAATAAATTAAATAAAGGTATTGCATCCAACTACAAATAAAAAATAAATATGTATTTTTTTAAAAAATCCTGTAGTCAAATTCATGGAAATATATAGAAACAGAGTTTCTGAAAATGTCAAAAAAAAAAAATGTTAAATGGTTTCCAGGTGCTGGTGGAGGGGATGGAGAAATACTTACGGGTACAAAGTTTCAAATTTACAGCATGAAAATGTCTTGGTGATTGGTTGCACAATAGTGTGAGTACCTTTAATACTACTCTATTACACTTTGAGGTCTAGCAATGGCAGAGTAGCAGGATATAAAATTAACATCATAAATCAGTTGTGTTCTTATATGCCAAGATGAAGCAACTGAAAGAGAAGTTAGAAAAACAATCCCATTCACAGTAGCCTCAAAAAAATAAAATACTTGGGAATCAATCTAACAGAAGAGATGAAAAATCTCTATAATAAGAACTACAGAACACTAAAGAAAGAAATTGAAGAAGACCTTAGAAGATGGAAAGATCTCCCATGTTCTTGGATAGGCAGAATTAATATTGTCAAAATGGCCATACTACCAAAAGTATTATGTAGATTTAATGCAATTTCTAGTGAAATTCTAATTTCATTCTTCATGGAAATAGAAAAAGAAGTCATTAAATTCATTTGGAAAAATCAGAGGCCCAGAATAGCAAAAACAATCCTTAGTGAGATAAGTGAAACAGAAAGCATCATAATACCAGACCTTAAACTATACTACAGAGCTACAGTAACAAAAATGCTATGGTGTTGGCATAAGAACAGACATGAAGAACAATGGAACAGAATAGAAGACACAGAGACAAACCCACATAGATACAGTTATCTCATACTAGACAAAAGCGCCATAAGCATACATTGAAAATAGCCTCTTCAACGAATGGTACTGGGAAAACTGGAAATCCATATGTAGCAAAATGAAATTAAACCCCTCTCTCTCACCCTGCACTAAACTCAACTCAAAGTGGATCAAGAACTAGGCATTAGACTAGAGACCCTGCACCTACTAGAAAAAAATGTAGACCCAACTCTTCATCATTTTGGCTTAGGAACTGACTTCCTCAATAAGATTCCTAAAATCAAAAAGTAAAATCAAGAATTAATAAATGGGATAGTATCAAACTAAAAAGCTTCTTTACAACAAAGAAATCTTCTGGAATGTGAAGAGAGAGCCTACAGAATGGGAGAAATATATCTCCAGGATATATAAAGACTTAAAAAACTTAATACCAAAAAGCCACAAATAACCCAATCAACAAATAGTCAAAAGAATTGAACAGGCACTTCACAGAAGAGATACAAATGGTCAACAAATATATGAAAAAGTGTTCAACATCTCTAGCAATTAGAGAAATGTAAATCAAAACTACTCTAAGATCCCATCTTACTTCAGTCAGAATGGCAGATATCAAGAATACAAGTAACAATAAATATTGGTGAGGATGTGGGGAAAAAGTTCTACTCATACATTTCTGGTGGGACTGCAAATTGGAACAACCACTCTGGAAAGTAGTATGGAGATTCCTCAGAAAACTTGGAATGGAACCACCATTTGACCCATTTATTCCACTCCTTGATGTATACCCAAAGGACTTAAAATCAGCATTCTATAGTGTTGCTGCCACTTCAATGTTTATAGTCCTTCAACTTACAATAGCTAAGTTATGCAATCAACCTAGGTGCCATTCAACAGAAGAAGGGGTAAAGAAAATGTTGTATATAAACATAATGGAATATTACTTATCCATAAAGTGGTATATAAACACAATGGAATATTACTTATCCATAAATAAGAATGGATTTTTGGCATTTGCTGGTAAATGAATGGAATTGGAGACTATCAGTCCCCCAAAAAAGTAAAGGCTGAATATTCTGATATATGAATTCTAACACACAATGGGGAGAAGGGGAGAGAAGAATAGAAGTTCACTGAATTAGTCAAAGGGGAATGAAGGGAAAGGAGAGAGGATGGGAATAGGAAAGACAGTAAAATGAATTGGGCATAACTTACCTGTGTTCATTTGTGAATATATGACCAGTGAAACCCCACATCATGTATAATCACAAGAATGGGATCCTATTTAGAATAAGTTATACTCCATGTGTGAATGATATGTCAAAATAGACTCTACTGTCATCTATATATAAAAAAACAAAAAAGTGTGGCAATGGTATAATTTATGCTTTGAATATTCTACCACAATTTTATTTAAAAAATAAAAAAATAAAAAATAAAAAAATTTAAAAAGTAAAAAAAATGACACCCCGCAAAAAAACTCAGACCAAAGTTTGGACATTAAGCATTAACTGCTATAGTTTGGAACTATTGTGACCTAACCACTTGCTGCTGGACCTGTCCCAAATGACAGCTCCAATATCCCCTGGCAATGAGAACCAGCACAACTAAAGCCCACCCAGGGGAGAAAGAACTGTGTCTTTCTCCTGTGATCTCCAAGCCAGGCACAGCCTGGGAGTAGGCTGGCAGATAAACTCAGAGAACCTACCTGCTCCAGTCACACAGGCCATGTAGATCCCATCTTTCATCCCCATGGCTTCTCTGCCTCCGACTGCACTCACAGACCAGAGCTCTTCCTGTGCCCTGTGACTGGGTTTGACTGCTGAGGCTTGTTAAACAGCAGCTAGTCATCCTCCTGGTCATAAGGAGTCATCTGGTTTAGGATCTCACAATGTACAGATGTCCGTCTTTCTTTCTTGCTGACAACCTGGGCCTCCCTGGTTTGGCCTCTTTTCCTAGCATGGCAATTGGATGATGGAAACTTGGCTTTGCAGACCTGTGGAGTTTGGACAACCCATGTGTCTAGGCTAGATCTGAAAATGTTTAGTTAAATGTGAGCTTCAGGCCACAAGCTCCTGACCTAGCTTCTGATTCAGCATTTTCTGAGCAATTGAGTGTGGAAAGAGCTTGGGGAGTTGACTGCATACCCCGTGACACACTCTCACCCTTGCTGAGAGCCATGGCTGGCCTGCTGCCCTTATTCCTGGGAGTGGTTCAGAAGGAGATGGTGAAAATGATGAAGTTGGAGCAGATCACACCTTTTGAGGACTATGTGTTGCCCACAGAGGTGGCTGTCTTTAATGAGATCTAATATCCTTCCTGGATCATTGCACTTAAATAAAGCTTGACTTCTCAGTCTCCTGAGCTATGAGGGAATAAATTTCTGTTCTTTATAAAAAATACAAAAATTAAAAAAAATAAAGCTTGAAAAGTTAAACAAGACTAGCACAGTGCCTGACAGGGCAGCAACCCCATCAAGCTCATTAGTCCCCCGTTACGGTTCTCTGAGGATAAGCTGGCACACTTGTGTACATAGTCCTTTAGTCCTAAAATAGTCTGTCTTCTTAATTGTATAAGTCTGTGAGGTAGGTTAAAGTTCTCTCTACACCCTTGCTTATGTTATTAATTTACTCAGCAAACTTTTCCAAAGCCAAGGTAACCTCAGGGCAGCCAAGTCTAAACAGGCCTGGAGCAATGTCACTGCTTCTCCTCTATTGCAGCCATGAGCTTCAGCTGGTTGCAAGAAATAGCTCACTGTGTCTCCTGGACAGTGGGGAGACAACAGGAGTGAAGGGGCCCAGCCCTCACCACAAAATATTCTCCCAATTATACCATCTCTGACTGAAACTTTAGACTTCTTAATTCCCACCTGGACACATTATTGCCCAACCCCACACTGCATACATAAATAGAAGTTCTTTGTGGACCACAAATTGAAGATGCTGTAAGGGGGTGGTGGCCAGTGCTTAGACTTAGGATAGGGGTAGTTCAGTTCAGGTTTTGCTTAGGCCTCCACCTGAGATCAAGCTGGTCAACTCAAGGCAAGTAACTTAACATCTTGGAGTCTCAGTTTTCTCTTCCTTTAAATGGTAATATGATTATGTGCTTAACCTTGTGCATTTTAAAAGGAGATAAAGATACTAAATTGGATTGAAATAGGAAGGTTATTTTCCTAAGACATCTTGTTCCTGAGCCTGTGAAAAAGTAACACAGGAATCAAAGGAATATGGATGTTTTAATACAAAGTGCTTAGGGGCTTTCCTGGGTGTCCAGGCTGAGGAGCTAATGGCCAACTCACTTCCCAAAGGACTGAGGTTTCTGAAATTTTCCTTTAACCCTCTCCTCTGCCCCACCCCGACTCCTAGTAGAAACAAAGGGCTGCAGACTGCTTTAAGCAGTCAAAGAGATCTCCCCTGATGGCCCCAGGGCTGGGATGGGACTGAGCAAGGACAGAAACAGGTGCTCTAAGGGAAAGCAAACCTGTGCACACAGAAAACATCAGGGATATGAGGCCTGAGTGGCAATGTTCACATGGGTTGAGTTTGTCATTTGGTCTTGATTTTTGATGACCTGACTTGTTTTCACATATGTATTTTTGAGAAGGTAACAGGAAATAAAGAATTGCTATTACAAAATTGAAGGGTGGTAGAATTAAATTAGAATCTGAAGTTGTTCTTTTCACTTGAAAAGGGTCTTCAAAGTGTATGTGGCAGGGATTGTGAGGAGATGCCAGACTGATGTATGATCATGTCTCTGTAAAGTAATCCCCTCATGATCCGGGGTACTTCCCTGAGGCCTCTGACCCCTTGGGTTGAGAATCCTTGGATAGTGAAGGTGTAAGGAAGATTCCCCAGGGACCCCACTCTGGGAGGCAGAGGTGGGTGCAGAGGGAAGAACTCAGCCCTGAGAGGTGGGGATTCAGAGTTCAGTGAGTGTGGACAGGGAGGCCTCTAATAGGGCTGTGTGAGTAGGCAGGGCCTTCTCCTTGTTGGTGCTGAAGCAGACATGAGCTTAAAAATAGGAGAGATCACATGAGTGTGTTTCTTCTGAAGAAGATAGAAAGGAACCCACTTTCTGGCTTATGGAATGCCCAGCCTGGAGGGGAAACAGGTTTCTCAGTGTGTGGTTATGGCCAAGAGCGGGATTACTGTTCAGCATGGGAAGGGAAAAAGGGGTGGGGTGGAGAGGGTGACACCCTCTTAAGCCAAAAGAATTCTCGGCTGCTCTTGTGAGGCTCACACCACTACCTGGACAAATGAAGGGTCATTCTGGGTCTTATGAAACTCTCCCCAAAGGTCTGTTGGGGCAGCCTTTGAGAATAAGCTCACAGGGGAGGGGATTACAGAGGCCCTGCTTAGATTGGAGATTGCAGCTCCACAAGGATTTATCATCGCACTGTTGGCAGTTGGATTCCTCCATCTTTCACACAGCATCCATTCAGTCCTTTCCCCCAGGAACTGCAAGGATAGAGATGTGTGCTTACTAACCAGTGGTCTGCTTGTGATATAAGGGCACCTTGTGTTTCCTTGGGTTCCACCTTCCTTCCTAGAAGGTGCTGTTTATACAAGCAGCCCCACCCAGCCACAGTTCCCCAGGATGCCCTAACTGAACTTTGCCTTCGCATTGGGTCTTTTCGTCAATTCACGTTTGTGAGAGCCACTGCCTTCAGAAATACAGTGAGGTGTCCACTCAGTGCCACCTGAAACTTCCCCTGGGTGGAGTCCAGTTACTGGCTTCCTCAGCCATCTGTCAATACAGATGAAACTTGGCAGAAGCAAAGGTGTCCCTTTTTGGATGATGTCCCAGATTCTTTTTATTTATTTATTTGATACATGGCAATAGTGGAATAATTATCCATTCACTCACTGCTGACACTGTAGCCACTTCAGGGCTTTCAGCTCGTCAGCCTCAGGCCTCATCTCCTGATGGTTCACTGCCTGCTCTTTCCTCTACAGGCTTTAGCCATGCTGATCCTCAGAACTGAGTATGGAAAGTACCTTAACACTCTTGGGTTTCTGAGGGTAGTTTTCTCAGGGCCTTCCCAGCCTTAGGTCATCAGACTGTTCTTGCTTCATTCCAAATGACTGACGCTCCAGGAAGATTTGCCTAATAAGAAACAGCACATTTTCTTGTCCAGTGAAAGCTCAAGTCAGTGGGACAAGTATTATAGCAAAACAGAGTAAGCTTTGACAGAGGTGGCTTCAGGTTAATCCCCAGTACATGGACATTCAGTTCCTCCATAATAGGGGTCCACTTGTGGCTTTGAAACTTTTTTTTCTTTTTCCCAAACTTCTTCTGCCTCATCTTTTCCCTAACCTTCTCCTCCTTGATCTTCTTTTCCCTAATCTTCTATTCTTGATCTCTCCTCCCTAACCTCATTTTCTCTTAATCACCTCTTTGACCCCTTCCTGCTGATGGGCAGAATCAGTCTTTGGAACAGGAGTCCTCTGTTTCTCCTTTGCTAGCAATGAAACTTTTCTTTTTCATACATGACAATAGTGTGTTCTCGTTATTGGATTGGCATTAGGGACAAGGACTGAGTTTTCAGCAATATCTCCACATAGAAAGTGTGGAGGTAATAGCTAGCTTGTTAGGCTGGAGGATTAGAATACTATCTATCCTTCTGTACGTACTGACTGACAAAGCACTGGTTCCAGCCATATTTCAATCCTATTTTGTGAAGTCCCTTATTACTGAATTCTGCTGAACGGGATATGCATTGCCCAGCTCCTTGGTTTGGGATCCTACTTTGAGTCCTCATTTTCTAATGCAACATTTGATAAAGAATCTACAAAATGAATAAATGCAACTTTGCTATGGATTTAAACATGAATGTTTCATATTAGGATTTAGTAAACATTGTTAAAACCAGAGACATCTCTCCCGAACATAAAAGTGGACTGAGCACCTATTTGGTAATGGAACACATGTTTTAGATTGTCTTTGCTACTCCCTGGGCAGGCTCACCACACAAGCCATGGGGAGCCTGGTCAAGAGTTTTGATTTTGGAGTCACGGTGTGATTTTTAGATTCTGTTTCTGCAATGTACTCAGTGTGACCTTGGACCAGTTACATAATCTCTCTTAGCCTTGGTTTTCTCATCTACAAAATGAAGATATTAATACATCATAGAATTGTTGAGACTTCAATAAGATTATGCAGGTAAACACTTGGTGTAGGTGAAAAGTAAGAATTCCCAAGAAATGTCTGTTGTTTTTAAAATATCATACTTACCTGAAGGTTTTACAAACCCTGTTTTGGCTGTTTTAGATAAAGCTTCTCAAGTTCAAAGATTCTCTGCTGGTCTTATTCCTTTATCAAGCAATTACTCCAAGGCCAGCACTGATCATGTGAGCTTTAAGAACATAACTACAGAAGATCCCTCAGCCCTTGAAGCGTTGAAACCTCAGGGGGGCGGAAAACAAACTATTTACAAAACAGTGTGGTTGGAGACAAGATGAGGAGGAGGTAATCATTGGTCCTCAGGGTCCAAAAAAAGTGGTACCTGCTCTAGGGTGGAGATAGTCCAGGGAAGGCCTTGGAGCCTTGAGACAAGATTATCAGACCAGAAAAGTGAAGGAATATGAGACAGAACTGCGAGCTAGTGTGAAGCATGTGAAAGCATGATTCCTCAAGCTTACTTTCTTGAAGGTTCCAGGACTTAACCTTCCTGCTGCCCCAAATGGCAGATCTCTTAAAGAATGGACTGAGCTGGCATGGGAGCCAGACTAGGTAGGCCTGCTACAACTGTGAAATGTCTAACCAGCAAAAAGTGATAATGTAAGGGAAACAGAAATTATGGGGAGGGATGATCATGTACTTTATATCTAGTAGGTAGTGGAATTCAGAGGAGATTTGGGAGTTTTAGGCTAGAGTTCTACAGGTGAGAGGAATCAAGGGGTCAAAAAAATACAGTCTGTTTAAAAGTAGTAGTAAATCCATGGATATATTTCACAGATACCTTTTTAGTGACAGAATAAATCTGATTTGCAAAATTGGTTCTATTATCCTTCTATACTTTAGATCAATGGTTATTTAAGCAACAGATTCAATGTTACTAGGAATTTCC